GCTAGCTAGCTAGCTAGCTAGCTAGCTAGCTAGCTAGCTAGCTAGCTGGGTAGTTAGCTAGCTGGGTAGCTATCTATCTGCGTATATATATACAAATAGGGAGAAGGGATGACGCGAGATACGAAAGGAGGCGGAGGATAGAGACAGACAAAAAGAAACAGAGAAAGATATAAGGGGACAGGGAAAGACAAAAGGAGACAGAGAGAAACAAAAGGAGAGAGAAACAAAAGGAGACAAAGAGAAACAAAAGGAGACAGAACGAAACAAAAGTAAAGAGAAAGAGACAAAAGGAGACAGAGCGAGAAACAAAAGGAGACAGGGAAAGAAACAAGAGTAAAGAGAGAGAGACAGCGACAACGAGTGTATGCCGCCAGGCTGCAGCTCACCTCTTTGATAACGCCGGGGGCCTGGGTGGTGGTGGTGGTGAAGGCCAGCCGATCGATGGCGCGCATCTCTCTCTCTATTTCTTCCTCTATCTCTCTCAGCTCTTCTTGCGAGAGTTTCTTCTGTGCTGCTGTAATATCCTCGTCACCTGCTGCCAGCGGCAGCTGGCGCTGCACTCCTCCAGCAGCAGCAGCAGCAGCAGCAGGAGGAGGAGAAGCAGCAGGAGGAGGAGGAGGAGCTGTTTGTGCTGCTGCTGCCTCTGCTGCATCCAAACCATCAACAGAAGAAGAAGGGCTTGAGAGAGAAGCAACGACCCCAGGAGGTGTAGGGGCATCAGGGGCTGGGGGTGATGCAGGCTGCTGCTGCTGCTGCTGGCTGCTGCTGTCTATGTGGTCCTCTGCTGCAGCAGCAGCAGCTAAAGGGGTAGAAGATGCATAGAGACAGCCACCAACAACACCCACCAAGAACAACCCCCTAACAACACACCTCATTTTGCCTGTTTTAATGTTTATAAACAAACAAAAACAAAACAAAATAAAGAATATATCGCAGTATACAAACAGATCTGTTGCTGCAGCACAAACAAATACAGAAAAAAAAAAAAATGAAAAAAAAAAAACTACCCTCCACCTNAAAAAAAAAAAACTACCCTCCACCTGACTATACACCCGGTGGCTATCAGGGGGCTGTAGCGGGGGGGAGAAAGGGAGGTCCTTATAAACCCTAAACCCTTAAAATCTCGATTCTAAACTAATTAATAAATAATAAATTACTTTTTTTATTCTTTATTGCTGCTTTTGGGCGTAAGAGAGCGGGCTGCTGCGGAGCGGTGGAGGCGCGGTGCTTGCCTGTAGAGATGAGCGCGTAGCCTGTGTTGTTGCTTGGTTGTTTTTTGTTGTTTTTTAACGGTTTTTTCTAGATAAATATATTAATATATTAAATTAATTTATAAATAAATTCACACATATCAAAAAAGCAAAGTTTTTTTCTCGTTTATATCACCGGTACGCATCGACGCCCAGTGAGGTTTGTTTGGTCCGGTGGAGCGCCGAGGCAGCGGCAAGCACAAGAATGCATGCAACTGTATATTCTATTGGAGAAAGTTTTTACGAAAATAAATAAAATGTTTTTTAATAAATTAATAAATAATTATAATTTTTATTTTATCCACTTCAGCAGCAACTTAAACACCCACGGCATCCACAGGGTGAGCGCGGAACCACTGAGCGCCGGATGAGCCCAGCAGCANGCAACTTAAACACCCACGGCATCCACAGGGTGAGCGCGGAACCACTGAGCGCCGGATGAGCCCAGCAGCAACTGCTGCGGTGTATCGACACCTAAACCTCAGCACTCCCTTTCTTTTTTTTATTTATTTATTTAATTTTTATTATTTTAAATTCATAATGGGGTTATTTGCTATTAAGTTTTATAGCTTGCGCTCATCCTACACCCCCACTAAGCCAAGCCGCTCTCCTCCTGTGTTCTATAGAGAGGAATTCAGATGTATGTACAGCTGAGGTGTACGTACAGCTGAGCTGTACGTACACCTGAGGTGTACATACACCTCAGAGGGCCCTAGGAAAGGCACCATGGTAACTCTCAAGCTCCTCTGGGCTCCTATCACCGCACCCCCTGCAGACCACTGGTCCACTGCATCGAACATGAAAATAAAAAGATATACAAAGCCCCAAATATCATCTGAAGAGCGCATGCATGCATGCATGCATGCATGCATGCGTCTTTGTCGCTCTACACCTGGTGCACTATTTTTTTAACGGGATGGAGGTACTTGTGGGCTCAGCTGCGACACCGTGAGCTGCCTATACACCCCGTGGGGTGTATAGGCAGCTCGCTGCTGCCACAGC